ATATTTATCCTTTGTTATTTAAGTAGATTATTGGTTTAAAATAGATCTAGGCAATTAAATGTTTGCTTAGTTGTCAAAAATGGCAATTACTCGCCATTTCCGATGAGAATACAGTCGGCAAGGCGGGCTCTTGGCTTTGGCCGACTAACAGTCGGCACATTTCTTTCTTTCTTTTTTAATTTTAATTTCTTTATATAATTAAAATTGTATCAAGAATTTTTTTTAATAATTCTTTTCGGAAATGATTTTAAAATTTCTTGATTATTTTGTTCATATTATATATAATTTTTTTTCAATTTAAAATTATTTTTAATTTTTTTTCTTTTTTTGATAAAATTTAATTTTTTCAATTTAAATTAAATAATATTTATATTCTTTATATAATTTTCTTAACTTTCTTTAGTTTAATTTGTTTTGTTTTTATTATTTTTTGGAAATAGTTTTAAATTTTTTTGATTTAAAATTATTTTCTTTTGATGATGAAACTTATTTTTTTTCAATTTTAATTAAATAATATTTATTTTTAATTTTAATTTAAAAAACTTTATGATAACTTTATTTTTATTTTTTTATTTCTGTATGTAATTATTTTTTTATCTTCTCCTTTAAATTATTAAATCATTTATTTTTTATTAGTATCAGTGTAAAATGAATATATGTCTTGCGTACAGTAATTACAATATTGTTCGCTTAATTTTTTAATATTCTGCTTTATTCCGTTATCTCTCATTCAATGTTTTAACATTTCAATTTTTGCATGATGGAATATCACTTAAATACGGTGGAGTTGAGACAGATGGTGGGAAAAGCTACTTGGAACAGTAGTTTTAACAATTTTACCACCATACTGAAACTGTTGGATGATCAACATGTAGTATTTTATGTCAATCCTTCCTCTGGCCCCTGTGTCAGTTGAGAGAGGTGCAGTATTCTGGACAAATCATCAATGCACTATTATATTGGCTTCTCAGCCCAGTCGATCGTGATGCCTTCCACTTCGACCTTAGGGACAATGACGCTATTTTCTCATCGTTTGAGTTTGCTTTGATGATTGGACTAAAGATTACAAGCGATGAAGCAGATCGTAACGTTACACAAAAAAGTAATAGGCTGCATGATACTTATTTCTAGGAATAGGGGATGGTGCTTCTACCGTAGCTGACAGGGACAATCAAATGTTAGACAAAATGAATCTAGATCTGGTCTATATTCTTGAGAGTATGGTCGGTGTCATTACAAGAAAACTGCAATTGACTATATGCTTGAGTTCCTCCTGAATCGAGATTGACTATGTGAATTGAATATAAGTTATTAATTACCGTTTTGTATGAATTAACAATTATTAATTAACTTAATAATTTTTAATGTTGTTATTTGTGTTGAAGCTCTGTCCAGTTGATCGATAATCACCTCTGTCACGAGCATTACCTCCGTCATCCAGACACCTCCCTTGTGGATCCCCTACACACAATTACAGTCATTATTTTGATGATCTGTATGCCCACCTGACTGGATTTATTAGAATAGGAAGTCAGCATCTTGCGATGAGAGTTGATAGGAAGGGTCAACAATTTATCTCATGATGTTGGAGTGCTACTTTGCCACTTTGTAGACCTTCAAGATGAGGTCATAGCGCTCCGAGGTGATACAACAAGTAGGCGATAAGGTAAGGGAGGGTGATAACGAGGGAGGGTCACCCATAGTTATGGCCAGATGATGCATTGAAATCATTTTAGGGATGGCCTGATGGGGATGGGAGAGGTGGCGAGCCCCAAGGAGGTGGCGGTTTTCGGGATGGAGTAGGTGGTGGTCCTCAGGGCGGAAGAGATGGTGAGCCTCGAGAAGGTGTGGTCGCAAGGGCCGTGGAGGAGAGGACGTCCATTGTAACTGGAGCAGGTGGTCAATAAAAGGTCGATATTACCGTTACAGTACGTCATTTTTCCCTTTACGGCTAAGGTGAAGATGAGGAGATTTTTTGACGAGACATACCCCAATCTATTCCAGGAAGTGGACTATGCCAAGTGGAAAGCATTCGAGATTGAGTTGAGAAGAATTATGCCCAGGTAAGTATTGTATGATTTTTGTAAAGTACATTACGCTAACTCATATATGCTTCTTTTAACATTTTCCCTGTTTTCTTTTTTCAGAATTAACCTCATCATAGCTGAAATAACGATCTCGGACCCTTACAAATGGTTCCATGGCATCACTACTTTGGGAGCTTGGCTCACCAACGATATAAGTGAGTAGTCATATTGTTATTGATTATTATACATAATTTTTTATTTATTAAATAAAATAACTCCCTCCTTTTTGTTGGTGTTCCTGATATAGTATATTGACCTAGCTATGAACTTGTTGCGCAATCGAGCTCAAAAATATCTAAAATCATTTGACATTTCTGGCCGAGTCATATTGAACACCGAGTTTGTACGTGTCGTTATCATTGAGCATTGATTGATCCAACTTATGGATAAAGATGCCTTAAAGTTGAAAGTCAATTGTTTTACACCTCTTCTGGACAAGATTTCAGCCTACATAAGTACTTGGACAGCATCTTCACTCTCATACGCTAGATGGATATAATTATCAAGGGTTGTACTTCAAGGATTTGAGCGTTTTTGGTTGTCTATCTTTTCGATTCATGCCACAGTCACTGCGAAGATCATTACGCTAAGCCGAAACTTCCTTTGTGGTGCTAAGAAGTCTTTGGTAGCTTGAAAAGATGTATGTCTACTGAAAGCGGGAGAGAGACTGGGTTTTGAGACATAAAATGCTGGAATTCAGTATTGCGTTTGCAAAATCCCTATAGAACATCCATGCAAAGAATGATACATTATGGGTTAGATGAGTCAACTATGTCTACCTAAGGGATGCATCTGTTTGGGAGAAGACAGCCAAGAAAAAAAACTCTCCACTTATAAAAAAACTGCTGGAAACGAGGGACAACGGCATCAGGAACAAACAGAATGAAACAGACAAATTGTAAAGTTGGAATTCTAGGCAGTTTTTTAGCATTTCCCAGGCATATGAACATTTTAGACTGACAAAGAGAACGAAAGGTATGGGCAGTTAATGTATTGAGATCCTTTATCACTCTAAAGCACTTATTCATCCTATAGCTAAGCTCCCAAGCAAAGTTTCTAACGAAAGACTAATTGATTACCTTAATATCGATAGAACCCGTGCTCTATGTGAATTGTCGGCTGAAACGGTTAAACACTTGTTCTTTCAATGTTCACTGAGCTCCTTCACTTGGGCACAGATTAGATCATGGCTCGACATTACGAAATCAATGACTACGATTGGAAGTGCAGTGAATAGGATAAAAAAGGAGGCCCGTAGGATATTTTGGCATAGTAAGGTGAAGAGAATTACTCTTGAAAATACAGTTTACTATGTATGGATGGCTAGAAATAGGAAATTTTTAAAAAATCTAAAGCCACATTTTGATAGCATAGTGAGACGAATTAAAACACATGTATACAAAGTTATGTTCTCTTTGTATCCTAATATTTTGGATCATTTTAATTATCTAACATTGGGTCGATCGATCTTTGTTTGTACATCTTTTGATTTTTGATTTGTCCGAATAAGCCAAGTGTACTTATACATTAGTTTTGATCAATAAAATTACATTTATCGATAAGAAAAAAATAAAGAAGAAGAAGAAGCACAAACTCTTTATGGAATAAAGTATAGATTGAATTGCCTCCGGGGCATAACCCAGTGGTGCAAACGATAGGAGTGAGTTAGTCTTAGCCTTGCTGACAGTCGCAGCCAGAGTTCGATTCTTAAGATATGTAATTGGACTTTTTGTGGGCATCAGTGTACGGGCAAGTTCTTGTTCTCTGGCCTGCTGGGGCACATCTTGAAATTTACGTCCCTTACGATACTCCAGGGATGGGG